CAACAACACGCTGGAAATCGGCAAATCCAGTGGAAAATGTCGCCTTTTAAACTTGGAGGTTGTGTCGGCCGGAATCCTATCACGGTATCATCCATTCATTTTTTATATGGCTTTTTGTAATTGATTTTAAAATTTAATCGGGTCTTTGTAATTGAATTTAATCGGTATCAGATTGTATGTTCGTTAGTATGTATATTGCTATCGTCGATTCATTGCATGTAATGATTTGCTTTAACCCAATAAAAGATAGTATATTTTAATGAATTATGATTGCTTTCGTAGTTTTGAAGGTTATTTATCAAACTATATATGTTATGTTTTATATGGTAATTTGCTAAGCTCCTGGAATCGATAACAAGAATTTGATTGTTATATATCCAATTTAGTCATGAGTAATCATGTAATAACTATAATAGTTTTCTTACTTGTAAGTGTATTATTAAAATTTTTAAATAATAAAAGAGTTCATACTTATAATTGGTTAAATTGTTTACTTGACATGAAATAATAATGTTCCTTCAAAATTGTGATGTTTGGTTCTTTGTTTTCATAATGAAATTGTTGTTGTTGCAAATTTATATTGTTAATGGATATATTTTTTTGTGTGAATTGAGTTATTAATCTGATTTTATGTCAGAATTTATATATTCTTATGATGGTGAATTGAATTATTGTTTTGATTGCATATTATTGATTATTTTTAATCGAGGTAAATCTAATTTTAGTGTATATGTCCTTCATCAGTATCTAGGACGGTAATGTTTAGGCTTCATTTTTTCAAATATCATAACTTTCATTATCATTTGTTCTATTTTTCGTATGCAACTCTTAAAGTTTTTTGAATCAATTTCATAACCATCGTTTCATTATGATGTGAAAAAGAAAGAAAATATTAAGAACGATAGTGTATTCTAGCAGAATATATTCTATGTATTCTGTCGGAATGGAATCACGAATTTTAGTTCTGTCGGAATGGAATCATGATATTTCATCACTAACTTGTGTACTTTCTACAATTCTTGGTTATGGATTTTGGTGCAATTCACATGTCTTCAGATTTGTACAAAAGACTTTAGTTTTTATTTTTCGTTTGCTAATGTATTATTGAGTTCTAAACTACAATTGGATTTGGTTTCACAGATGCTTGAAGAACGGACCGTAAAATTGAAAGTGATTCTCAACAACAATATTCTTTTAGAATGTATTAGTGTCTGTTAGATTTTGATGTTTTTTTTTTTCAATTTTTAACCGTTCTTAGTTTTATTTTCTTTAACAATAAATGTAATTCTTAGCAATTGTTACTCATATTCTTTAAGAATTAATGTAATTTTTGTTTTTATTCTTCAATTGATGGTTCAAGAATTTGTTATTTTTCAAGAAGCTCATTCCGTCAAAATATGTATTCTGTCAGAATATTTGTTCTTTTATGGTTCAAGAATGTTTCAAGATACTCATAAATATATTCTATTAGAATAGCCCGAAATAAAAGAACTATTATTTATTTAAATCAGATTTTTAAAATTAAGAGAATTAATTACCCCTAAAAATCCGAAATTTCTTTTTTAAATGTAGTTTAATTGACTAAAATACCCTTATACTAAAATTTATGTGATTATAGAATAAATGATATCTCATAGTAATATCATAGACCATCAATTCATGACCATTCATTCTATCCATATTATATATATATATATATATATATATATATATATATATATATATATATATATATATATATATATATATATATATATAGAGAGAGAGAGAGATAGGTTCAGGTATTTTAACTAAGTATTGTGTTATTGTATGCATAAATGTGGGTCAATCAAAATTAAATAAAAAATTAAATTATTAAATAAATAAATAAGGGTAATTTAGTCATTTGTTTAATAACTTCCAAAACTAATCCCTATAATCATGGTATCTCTCAAGTTTAAATCTCGTTCCCCTCTTTATCTAAAAACTGATTCTGAAAACCCTAAATTGAACAAATCGACACCAGCGACCCTTTGTGGGGTTGCCCTTGATCGTCTTCTTCATAGAGCGGTACCATGCCCAAGCGCGATTTCTGTGTTTTTTTTCAATAAGAACCTATTTCTGTAAAGGGCATTTCCAGGACATTTCGATCGATCGCAAGGGGGATGAGAAAGCGACTTCGGTCCTCGTCTTGGCATCATCAGGTCAAAAGAACATCGATTAAAGGAGGTCATGTGGTGGTGAAAACTGAGCAACGATTGGGGAAACCGAAGGTAGCTTATGCCACCGGCGATCGTCGCAACTAGGGGCTTCTTCGTCATCTTCCTAGTTGATTTCATCTTTTATCTTTTCTCTTTTCCTTTTTTTGTTCCAGCAGTCTCTAGTTGTTCTTGTTTGGGTTGATTTGAAAGAAACGGAGGTAGGAAGGGATGGTTGGAAGGTGGTTCGGTGGAGGCAGGGAAGAAGAACCGATATCAGATGGGTGTTTGGATTGAGGCTGTGAAATCAATGGGCAAGCAGAAGAAGAAACAAAGGGTTGTTGTTGGCTGGATAATCACAGGTTTCTCTAATCTTCTTTCTTATTTTGATTGATTTACTGTAAATCAATGAAGTTTAATCGATAGGTTTAGATGAGTTTTTGGGTTTGATTGGTTGAACACAAATCATGGTTGTTTTGGTTGCTTATTTGACAGATGAATGTTTCAACTGAATTGAAAGTTGTTTTCATGCACACCAAGCGTTCGCTAAAATGCTTCAACTGAATGGTATTTCTTCGTTTATAGCATTCTATCAGAAAAGAATGTTTTTTATGATAATCATGAACATATTCTGTTAGAATTCCCCGAATTAATATAATTATTGGTAAATGAATTCCAATTCTATCAGAATGGAATCACGAATTCCAATTATGTTGGAATGGAGTATGAATATTTTCTCACTAATTTATTCATTAGATTTGTTTCTACAGAAGTTGATGCTTGAAGAACGGACCACAAAATTTGAACGACGTCTCTTAGCAACATTATTCTTTTAGAATGTATTAATGTTTTTGTTAGATTTTGATGTTTTTTTTCCAGATTTGAAAGTTTTTTAGTTTTATTATTTAAAAATAAATGTAATTCTTAGCAATTGTTACGTGTATTCTATTAGAATTAATGTAATTTTTGTTTTAATTCTTCAATTGATGGTTCGAGAATTTTGTTATTCTACAAGAAATTTTTAAAGTCATGATCAAGAAATATGTTCAAGAGTATTTTTATTATTTTATGGTTCAAGAATATTTTTATTTTTGAACATACTCAAACATATTCTGTCAGAATGTCCGAACTAAAAACCTTATAATTTGTAAAATCAGATTTTTAAAATTAATAGAATCTTTGATCCCTTAAAATATGCAAATTTCTTTTATTAAATCTATGTTAACTGACTAAAATATCCTTCTAGATTAGATGGTATTTTTCAATTATATTTAATTAAATAATATGTATTAATCACTTTCTTAAAATAAGTAAAATGATTGGCCCACATTTATGCATACAATAACACAATAATTATTTTGAATAGAATAACCTAAGTCTATATATATATATATATATATATATATATATATATATATATATATATATATATATATATATATGAAAATGATGCGGCGAAAGCTTCTCGCATGGGGAGATGATTCGGTGTTCACCGAACCACCAGAGTTGCGGTTAGCCCATTTCTACCAGCCTAAAATGGACAATAATGGGAGAGAAGGAAAACTAAAGTGACAATGCTAAGACACACTTCTTCCAACCGAATAGTTATTAGATATCAGTAATATATTGAGTCATGTGTCCCAAAAGGGAGGAACGGTAGGGGAACAAAACATTTAACATTCCACTTGATTAATATATTGCAGCTTTACAATCTTGCTTTTTATTTTTGTGGGCCAAAAAAACGATCAGAACGTAAAGTTCTATATCTATGTAAAGGATTACTAAAATCCATTACTTTAAAAAAAAGATAAAATACTAGAAAATGGATTTATTATTTAAATTATTAGTCATGTTATTTTTAAACTTTTTAGTGTCATAAACATAATGCATAATTTATATTTAATAATAGTTATTAAATAATAATTATTTGTTATTTGTTTATTTATTGTTTAAATAAGAACGACAAAATATTCATTTATTTGAACTTATATTAAATATTAAGTCCAAAAAACAACATTTTTATCATCAATATTTTATCCATATTATATGTCATCCATTCAATATGTATTATCGGTTCACTGATTTAGGATGTATTTGATATTGCTTTTCAAACTGATTATTGACCTTTGAAAAAACCATGAATTTTTGGCGTATTTTTTTTTCACTGATTAACAAATATCTTTTTTATTTATTGGTTTTTTGAAAAATCAATAAATCATCTCAAAAGAGCACTCTCAAACATCCACTTAATAAAGTAAAAGAAAAAAGTTTAATTCTCGAAGTTATGAGACTAAATATTACAATAATACTTTTAATGTTTTCTATTCTAATAAACAAAAATAAAAATATATATATATAATAAATCATTTATTCTATCAAAGTTTTTTTTTTTTTTTTTTTTTTTTTTTTTTTTACTTTTGAACAAGTCACATAAATCATCCATTTAAAATACAATCAATGGAAAAGATCGTTATTAAAGATTCATTGGTCACTCAAAATAAACAAAAATTAGATTTTTCATTTATTTCTTTTTAAACAGCAACCCACGTGTATTTTAATTTATTCATAAATTTCACCTATAAACAATATTATTATTAGAATGTAGATATATAATCTACTACTTTTTAATGATTAAAAATGGTATGAAAATATTATAACATAATCTGTTTTTTCCACTTAATTAAAGAAAAAAAATACAATTCACGTGTTTCTTACCCCCCCCCCCCCCCCCCCCGGGGTCTCTCTTCCTCGTCGTCCATATCCCTGCAAGCTGACAAACGACAACGTTTCTATATATATTCCTACTCCAGAACCACCATCTCTCTCTCTCTCTCTCTCTCTCTCTCTCTCCGCCCTGTCCGTTACACACGCTAAGAGTGTGTTTGTGTGTAGAAACCAGCAAATAAGTTTGTTTGATGCTCATCTCCGGATTTCCCGGTATGTAATCGTTCCATTTCCCTCCGTTTTACTCTCTCACACACTTACAGACTTGATTCGATCGGATGGTGAAAACCTGCTTTCGATTTATTAGAATGATACATGATGTTAGTCACTGATTGTATAATCATATAGCTAGAGAGTGTTTATTCCATGCGTGAAGGATTGAAGATGTTTGATCTTAATGTTGATGTTGCGCTCTCGGTTGTTGATACAAGTACTAAATGCGATCGAAATGGTTGTGCGACTAACGGCGATATCGCTGTTAAAAAGAATGAACAAGAAGATCGTCAATCGGGAATTCATTCCGGTACTTCAGTTTCCTCCGACGTACTCAACGTCACCGTTGATGTCGACGTTGACGACGAAGACTCGGTATCATATACTGCTCTTCATAAGCAAGCTTGTCATATTGTAAGTCAAACGGGAGAATCGATGGAAAATTCAAATCGAGCATCTGCCGGTTTGATTACACGGCAGTTTTTTCCTGTTGCGAGTTATTTGGAGCTGGGGGAGGAGTTACGTTCCCGATTAATAACTTCATCCCCGTCGACGATATCCTTTCTTGGAGCAGACTGGTTAAATCTCAAGGTTCCGGAATCTGCGCCGGTTCCACTGAACGTGCAAGCGCTGCCGCCGCAGAAGGTAAGGAAAACCCGAAGGGGACCACCGTCAAAGAGCTCACAGTACCGTGGAGTGACGTTTTATCGCCGGACTGGTAGATGGGAATCACATATATGGTGCGCTCTTGTTCTTCTGTTGGTTTTATATCCGTGTTTGAAACTTGTAGCGATTTTAACTGTTTCCTGTACTCGATCTGCATATTCTCTTTCTAGGAACGTTTTCTAAAATATCAGAGGATTAATTTCCTTACTATGCAATGATGAACTATCAAACTACTTACCTATTCATTTGCTATGTGTGCATCACTGGTTTGAGTCTTACCATATGTTAATACACATCTCTCATAATTCTGGGTCTATTTACAAAACTGCTACCATCTCCGAATTTGATTTCTTACTGATATCAGAATCTTAATTGTTTGCATTTGATTTGTTCAGGGATTGCGGAAAACAACTATATTTAGGTATGAATAAAGCTTAGCATTGTTGCACTTTTGGAACATACATAATTGTTTTGGTTTTGATGTATTGATTTGTGTTTGCCTGATTACAGGTGGATTTGATACTTCACATGCTGCAGCCAGGTGAGAGTTTGGGATGATTTGGATCTAGTTTCCTTCCTTCCATGATTTTGTTATCATGGTTTTCTGACGTGATTTGGAAATTGAATTTCAGAGCCTATGATCGGGCTGCAATCAAGTTCAGGGGAAACGATGCTGACATCAATTTTGATTTAAGCGATTATGAGGAAGATATGGCCCAGGTGAGGAGAATGTCGAATTTCTATAGATATTTTTGTAGTGGGTAGTGGTTGTAAGTTCCATGATTTTTCTAATGTTTAATTGATGTAACAGACGAAGAACTTGTCAAAAGAAGAATTCATTCAGATACTTCGTAGGCAGAGCAATGGATTCTCAAGAGGAAGTTCAAGATACCGAGGAGTTACCCTTCACAAATGTGGTAGATGGGAGGCTCGCATGGGTCAGCTACTTGGGAAAAAGTAACAAACCTTTCCTTCCAACTATTTTATAGCTCTACACTCTTATCTTATGTGTCCTATTTAAGACAAAACTGAAAAAAAAAATAACAACATGAAACTTGTAAAATGTATTTTATTGCTTACCTTATAATAAAAATGTACTTACATATTTTTACCCATAGTGTACTTTCATATATTTACCCATAGTAACAATGTAGTTGGATTTTTTTACCGATAAAAGGAATATGTTTCTTAATGGTTAAGATTTTCAAGATAAGTATGTTTGGCAAAGGGGGGCGGTTTATGAATAAGATTAAAAAATTAAATGGTTGGTTGCAGGTATGTTTACCTTGGATTATTCGATAATGAAGTAGAAGCTGCAAGGTTGTTGGAATTTTATGATTACAGAATTTGAAGTCCCTAAAACTAAATTGGATTGAATATATATATATATATATATATATATATATATATATATATATATATATATATATATATATATATATATCTAAGTTTGTGCATATTTGGTTTTGTGAAAATCAGGGCTTATGACAAAGCTGCCATTAAATATAGTGGAAGGGAAGCCATCACCAACTTTGAGCCAAGCACTTATGGGGCAGATATAATAGATTTGGACCAAGGTACTTACTTACTACTTAATAATCACTGCTGGCTTACAACTTGTATGTATGCTTTCCTTCCTTTCACACTTGACGCCTATACTGATACAAGTACCCATCACTGTTTTTGATTCATCATTTAGCAAGTGGTGAGAATCTTGATCTGAACCTATGGATTTCTCCCACTCCCACTCTCAGTACATGGAATGAGAATCAGAATGTTGAGAATGTGGATATGGGTTTTACTGCTGCTTCTGGGAAAAGGCAAAAGGTTTGATTCCATTCTCTATTCCCCAATTAATGTATTTTTGTAATGGAAACTGAATCATGGCTGTTTTTTGTATTTTCAGGTTGGGGGACAATACCAATACCAATACCAATCCCAATCACACTACACTGCATTGTCTACACCAAATTATGAGGTAATTATTCATGATTTGCTTTCTAAAATGTTGGAAATTTCCTTGTCCATATTTGGTTTATGGTAAAAAGGGTTGAACCTCAAAGAGTAGCGTGTATTTATTGACAGGAAATGACAAAAGGGATTTCATCTGCAAGTGTTGTTCCCTCAACAGCAGCATGGCAAAGGCAAATGCAAATGCAAATGCAGCAGCATCATCAGGATTCGCTTCTTCTATTACAAAGTTCTCAGACATCCTTCTATTCTTATCCAACACAAACATAAACGTTCACATCAACAATTTACTACAACCTCTTATCCAATGCCAACCACAACCACTACTTACTAAACCGCCAAATCTGTTTCAAATTTGTTCAAAGGCATATATGATAATACTTGGACCTTTAATTCTCTTTTTGTTGGTGAGAGCCAATTACAAGTCATTTTCAAGTTCTGATATCTCAATCAAATAAAGAACTTTGTGCCTTGTTTTTTTTTTTTCTTGAAATGACTTCAACTAGTAACTAGCTTATATTGTTTATGCATATCACATATCATATCATATTTTGAGTCCAACAATTAAACACATATAATAATAATGATAATAATAATAATAATAATAATATACTTGAAACGAAAAGTTGATCTATTTCTCTCTTTAACTACTACACAAACGGAACCCAGAAAGAAAGATTTTAAAAAGGTGAAGGGAGAGAGGGAGATAGTAATTTACATTCCAAACACCCGAGTGTATACATCACCATACCCAGGCAACAATTTATCCAACCCCACTTCACTTCTACTGTTAAGTTGTTGAACCTCATGCCCATGCCCATGCCCCCCACCGTTTCCAAACTTGTGTTGTTGTAAGTACCTCTGGTGTTGGTGCTGTTGATCCACTACCCTGGAATTCAGTTCGCCATAATAATCATCTTGATAAGAAGAAGGAAACTGGCGGGGCATCAAGGAGGTTTGAGAATATTGAGGATCATGATGATGATGATGATGATTATGATGGTATGCTGCTGCAGAAGTTGCAGATTGTTGTTGTTGCATCAAGAGCCAGAGTTTTGACTCTTCATCGAATGAATTGGAGTTGGAGTTGGAGTTGGACCTCATGTCAAAAGATGATGATTTGCCTCTTCCAACAACCATTATGGCAGGATCGATAAGATCATCGCTACTGTTGCTGATATTCCCTATTGATGGTGTACGATAATGATGATTGTTTGAAAAAGAATTTGTCGCATAACTTCCTGAAACAATTATATTATATTTACTCGTATTAATCCAAAATATATATTGTTATAACTTTACATACTAAAGAGAAAACTAAAATCACGTACCAGGAGTGGCAGAAACAGCCTGCTGCTCACTTCTGATGGTCATGGATGAGGAAAAGCCAGGAGGTGGTTTGGAGAATCCTGGTGGTGTCAAGTTCAAGTTCTGAACCCCCCTTGATGCTTTTTCATAATCAAATACACATACACATATATAAATTTTAGAAAAGATGAAATCTAAATAAATAAACACCAAACCACATAGCTACACCAAATAAACACATACCCTGATATTGTGGTTTTATAGATATTGTCCTGGTTCTGGTTCTGGTTCTGGTTCTGAAGAAGAGATAATTTGTCCAAGTCCTTGATTAGCAAATGAAAATCTTGATTGATACTGCCACCCATCTTTCCTTTCAAACAATCCCATTCCAGGCAAGACAGAATCATCAGACCCATCAAAATCCATGGACAAAATATTTGATATTATGCTGCTTTCCACAGCAGCAGAATTTTCATCATCATCATCATTCACAAAACTATCATCATCACCAAGACGTCTCAAATGCTCCACTATCTCCTCATTGGAAAAAGCTTTAGAGCTTCTATATATCCTATCTGAATCTGATTTACCCAAACCCTCTTTCTCACTCAACAAAGAATTTGTACATGCTGCTGACTGTCTAACACCTTCATCTCCTGCATACTTATTATTTACACTACAAGACTCCATATTCCACCAATCATAACGCTTCTTAATCGCCTCACAAGGATCCAAATAACCCTTCTGACTTGAAGCTATACAATCTTCCCATCCCTGATCATCAGAATCAGATTCTTCTTTTGTAATAATGTTACTGTCCTTAACTTCTACTGATTTGCTATTGGTCACTCCATCAACAGGATATGATGATTTTAATGACACTAGATCTGAACTTTCGGCCTTATTCATGCATATAGAAGACATCTCAGAACATAAATTCACCATCCGCCCTTCTGTCACATCTTTATCAGAACCCGAATTACATGACCTTCCAACAATATCTACAAAAGTTGTCATGTGTTTTGATGATCTAGGCAACTGACTCTGATCATTACAAGCTGCTGCTGTAGCATAATCTACAACCTGAACAATGACATAACAAGCAAATATTCAGACATCCAAACTAATTAAAAAAAACTGTCCAGGTTTTTTATAAATGTACAAAAAATATATCTTACTTTCAGACCATCTGGTGAAGGACTGTGGTTGTTCAAGTGTTGATCTACTGGTGATGGCAATGTACTTCCTGACCGTTTATGCAAATATTGGGCAGCACCAACAATTTCCTGAACTCTATTCCTGAAATAAATAAATAGATAAATAATTGTTGTATATTGTTCTATTATAATGAGTCAAAAGTGAAAATGAAAGCTATAGTCTGTAATACCTAGTATGAACTGCAGCTATTTCATCTTTGCCAAAACTATCTTCTTCAGCACCAATGTTATGCAAATATAAACATGCAGGATTGTTGCAGGGCTGAAAAACAAAAAGTAAAAATAAAAAAAAGAATTAGCAGAATTTACAGCATACTTGGATTTGGACCCGATATTTGAGCATTTCATGTATTATACCATATTCCTTAACCATGCATGACAGTACTTTGCTGTTCCAAATGATGCTCTGCAAAAGTTTAATTTAGATGGTAATTAAAATACAAGGTTTCACAAGAAAACGGTCTACAAATATGAGGAAAGGGATAAAAAGGTTTTGTTACTTACCTTAAAAAACCTACCATCCAGCACATATCCATGCACAGATTGAATACACCTCACTGCTTCTTCCTCTTTTGAGTAAGTAATATATCTGTAAATATAAAAAAAATGAAAATCATAATCAAACACGAAACAACATATCAAAGAATAATTCCATTTTAATTTTATGATGATGATGTAGAACATACACACTACAAGTATCATTGACAAACTGCTGAACTGTCCCACCAGCCGTCCGAGAAAGTGAAACCTTGGTAACTTTCCCATATTGCCCAAAATAATCTTTTCGCTGCAATAACTACACATAACAAAAACAAGGGTGCTTCATAACAATAATGTTACATAAACTTGCTATGAAAAATAAGTTGATAGGTCATAGGTGCACACATCTTCATCTGCTATACTAAGGGGCAGCCCAATAATATATGCCATTTTTCGCTGAATCACTCGAACATTGCTGAGATCCTTCCTTGGTTCATTTGGTTTTTGCTTTGCCTTTGGTTGCTTTTGTTTTCGACTAGAACCATTGGCAGATACCCTGCAAGACAGGCTTATGAATCAATCATATTGTAAAATGTAGAAATAAAAGATAAGAGATATTGCAAAAGTATTTGAACCTCTGAAAATTTGCTTCCAACCCTACAATTCTATCCTTATCATAAGGTGTGCGACACGCAGGACAACGTCCCTCTGTTGCATCCTTCTCTGCCATGTCCATTATGTGATGCCAACACCAAACACACACCTACAATGGTAGTATAAATATAACATCAATATCTAACAGATTATGAACATAATTTAGTAAATTGGTACCACTATTATATAAACCTATTATCTATCATTCAATCCAGATTTTCCATATTCACTGCTTGAACAATAGCATGAGTTGTTTCGAAAAATGTTGGCAAAACAATCACACAAGTAATTACACCAAACGTAACATCTTTATGTCCATGGAGTAAGTACCAAACCTCATAACCACATTTGCAGGGCTTCAACTGTTGATCAGTCCAGTCCATCTCTTCTGCACACAAAGGACACCTCTTCTCTTCTTCGTTGCTCATGATTCCTCTGGAAACAAATCAAGGTCAACAAATTTTCAGCAAGGATATACGAATCAAAACAAAATCAACAAGTGTTATCCTTCTATATGACCACATTAACATACATTTAGTAACAAAACCCTAAATTTCGCGATAGTAGGATGCAATAAACCTTCTCGTTTCAGATCAAATCCACGAGATTGCATTGCATTTCACGAAACTAACACCGACTTAAATTATAAATCTAAGTTGTGAAAAACACGGCATTAGACATAAATACACGTATTTAGTAATACATACATACATATAAACACACATAAATGTGGTCAAAATGCACCGAATCAAAATGCAAACGATTTGTTTGTGGCAATTGAAGGAGTTGAAGGAGAGAAATCAAAAAGCTTACAGTGATTACTTGGATGAATGATCTAGCAAATGGAGTGTGTACGGGAAACGCGAGAGAGACGCGAAGAACCAACTCAAGAGTACGGCACAAAGAATTGAAAACCACAGGATTGAGACGAGCTTTTATGAGGATGGGCTTTTAAATTAATTTTATTTAAATTTATATTTTATCTTCTACCATATCAACTCCTATCAATATCTTTCTTTATGTATTGTCATCAGTATTAATATTAATAAAAATAACAATTATCAAAATATATCTGTATTATTTTTAATAAAGTTTATTGTATATAATACTTTTTAGTTTTAGATTAATATAACAGAAACTATTTTTTGTTACATAGGGCTGAGGGCCCATATTTGATCATATTTGTTATATTGATATCGTTAAAGTTTTTTCGAATAATATTTGACAGACAAAATTTGTTTAAAATATTAATTATGTCGACATGTTTTTAACAAATAAATAAATATATAAATAAAAATAGGTACCGGATACAATTTTACATATTAAATACCAACTTTTGTTAAGAGGGTTTACATGCAAACTATATTCTACAATGTATGATAGATATTGTTGCAAGTATTTGTAACAATGTGATTTGCTTTAAGCATGTTTCAAAACATAACTATTTAGTAAAGTATAAAATGTGCTTGACGAAAGTAGACAAATAACTAGTTAACAATTAAATGTTGAAAGACGTATTTAATGGGGTTTCTTTTAGTCTTAAAGACTTAAACATATTGATTATTGAAAACAAATAGATGTTGTTAATTCATGTACATATATTGTTTTATCCCATAAATTAAAATGATTTTATAAACATAATTGATTTTTTTTAACCGGCAAATATATTAATAAAACCCAAACTAGCAAAGAGCTAGATGGAACAAAAACAGTTTATAGTTTACAACGTTATCACAACACATTACATTACATAGTTTTGTAGTTCAACCAATTAAGAGGGTATGAACACCAAATAGCCCATTCACAAACTTTTGTCGAGCTCCTGTATTTCATCTAAGTGTATACCATTGATTGGATGTTATCAGCAACCTTTGTAGGAGTGATGATAAGTTTTTTAAGCATCCTTTCGTTCATAGCCTTCCAAATCCACCAGCATGTACCATAGCATATTAGCATATATAGATCAAGACCTTCCTTTTCTTTGTGCATCTGCCCCACTTTGTTGCAGAGTCAACTAACTAGATTATGACCCGCGTTAAACGCGGATGAACACATAAAAGAAATAAGATAAAGTAACATAAAGAGACTTTGTATTATTGATTAATATAATCTGTAAAAATAAAACGAAATATCTTATTATCTATAATTGTTGAAGGATCTCTTTGTACACAACATTTTTTGTTTTATTGGTTGAACGACCTTCCTCGTCACATATGAGTACCTTCAAGCTTTTTTTTACTTGTCACGCGAGAAACAACTACATATAACTGACCATGAGTGAAGAATGGTATATATCCAACACTCAATACGATTATGGAGGGAATAAATGCAGTATACGAAAATAGATATGTGATGTCAGACAGTGGTGTGGAACAATAGTATATATCAAACAAGCAATACGAAATTTAAAGCTTTTAATCTGTTAACATATGCAAACCATGTATACCTATACAAATTTAAGGAAAATATAAAGATAATACGAAATTTAAGGAAAAAATGAGTTATACAAATCAAACATTATAGACATTTAAACACTGATACCATCTAAAGAATCTAAACAACTCAAATATTTCCCAACTTCATCATTTCATTCATTTAAATGAAACAGGTGGTTTATACATCAAACAGATTACAAAAGGAAATCTCACTACATATACTCTCACTCTCATATGAAAACTAAGAACAATACAGAAATCTGTAAGAAGAAGTATGAACAAACCCTAAACTGAAACGTAGAGAGAAAAACTGAGAGAATGAACAGTTCACACACTAAAAATATCTAGACTCTTCATGATAAGTGAGAAGGATCTAAGCAACATATACCCCGGATCATATCACCATCGGGTATAACCTCCAACCCGCGTGTAAACCCGATACCTGCACAAACATAACACAACACACCCCCACAAATATACAAAATATGCAAAACTTACCCAATAATCTATAATTAATGTTTAGGTTTGTAATAATACAAAAATAACACTTCTCAACATGCCCCCTCAAACTAAACATTAATTTGAGAAAACATGAACTTAACCAATCTTTTTAAACACATCAACCATATTAAGTCGATTCACAATATACTCATGTTGTACACTGCCAAGAGACTTTGTAAGTTTATCTGCATTTTGATTTGAAGACACAATTTTATTTACTTTTAGTATTCCATTTTCAATTTTTTCTCTAACAAAATGAAGATCTACTTCAAAATGTTTTGTTTTTTCATGAAAAACAGGATTTAGAGCTAATTTAATAGCAGACTCATTGTCACAAAAAACATCCACAGGTAAATTTGATTTTATACCCAAATCAAAAAGCAATTTTAAAATCCAAACTATTTCACAAGTTATACTACCTAAAGCCCTGTATTTAGATTCAGTAGAAGAACGAGAAACAATACTCTGTTTCTTACTCTTCCATGAAACAAGGGACCCACCTAAGTACACTAGATAACCAGATACAGGCCTTCGACTAATAAGACATTTAGCCCAATCTGCATCAATAAAACCAACCAAATTAAAAGAGCTAGACTTTGTCAAATGTATTCCCATACCTGGACTGTTTTTCAAATACCTCAGCAGTCTGAAAGCAATGTTAACATGAGATTTATATGGCTTATGCATGTATTGACTCTATAGTTGAACAGCATAAGAAATATCAGGTCTAGTCACAGTAAGATAGATCAATTTCCCAATTAATTTCTGATATTCAGTTATATTGACCAAATAATTAGATTTTTCCAAATCACACTCTCTTTTAATGACCAAATTAGGCTCAAGTGGTGTTTTAACAGGTTTGCAAGCAAGCATCCCAAATTCATGGAGTAATTTCATACAAGACTTTCTTTGATTAAGACAAATCCCATTCTCAGTTTTTAATACCTAAATACCTAAGAAATATTTAAGTTCACCTAAGTCCTTGATTAAAAACTGAGACTTAAGGAAGTTCTTAACACTATTTAATTCAGCTTCATTATTAACAGTTAAAATAATATCATCTACATAGACAAGGAGAAAAACAACTGTATCTTGACAATTTCTAACAAATAAGGAATAGTCATTTATGCTTTGTTTAAAGCCAAAACTAGAAAGAGAAGAACAGAGCTTCTCATTCCACTTTCTTGGAGCTTGTTTAAGCCCATAAAGAGATTTTAATAACCTACAAACTCTGGCATCACCCTAAGAATGATAACCTTCAGGTTGATTCATATATACACACTCAGACAAATTTCCATATAAAAATGCATTGTTAATATCTAACTGATAAAGAGACCAAGAATTATGAACAACCATAGAAATAACAACACAAACTGTTACTATTTTAGCTACAGGAGAAAAAGTCTCCTCATAATCTATACCCTCTCTTTGGTTATAACCTTTAGCAACAAGTCTGACCTTATATCTTTCTATATCACCATTGGACTTATACTTGATTTTATAAATCCATCTACACCCAATGGCTTTTCTTCCTTTAGGAAGGTTAGTTATCTCCCAGGTATTATTTCTATAGAGAGCTTCCATTTCCTCATTCATGGCCTTGATCCAATTAGGATCCAAAGCAGCATCACTATAGGATTTTGGCTCAACAGTTTTATTCAGACTAGAAACAAAGCAAAAATTATCCTTATTAAGAGTTGAATAGTTAACAGATCTTTCAGTTCCATATTTATGCTTACCTTCTACAACATAATCACTAAATCTAACTGGCATGTTAACATTCCGACCAGATCTAGTAACCCTAGTTGACAAACTATCAGAAGGATCAGAATTAAGTGAATCATTTTCCTCAGACAAAGAAGAAGAGTTTGGAAGCATCTCACCAGAAGGAGGCACATATGCCTCACCAATCTGATTGCTGACATTAGAGGGACAAGTCACATCCAGGTTATGGTCTGCATTAGCACCATCCAACTGATGGTCACTTCTCAAACTTTCTATCCTAGTGTTATCTAGAACAAAACTAGAATCAATTGAATCATCATAAGAAAATATGTCATTTGAGTCTACAGTGGCAACAAATTTATCTGTCAAAGATGAGGATTTAAGCTTGAAATGAAACACTGACTCATAGAATTTTACATCCCTGAAGACAAAAACAAAATTGGTATCAAGACTAAGTACTTTATAACCCTTTTTATCAGAAGAATAGCCAAGAAAAATACATTTATCAGCCCTTTCAGAAAACTTATCTGAATTATTTAACTTGGTGGCAAAACACAAACATCCAAAAACTCTAAGTTTATCAAAAACTGGTGTACTATTATAAACAAGTTCATAGGGAGAAGCACCATTTAAAACAGAAGTAGGATTACTATTAATCAGGAAAACAGAGGTTAAGATAGCATCTCCCCAGTACTTGATTGGTATACCAGATTGAAACATTAATGACCTAGCAACATTTAAAATATGTCTGTGTTTCCTCTCCACAACACCATTCTGTTGTGGAGTATGAACACAAGATGTTTGATGTAAAATTCATTTGGACTCAATCGATTGTTTCATCCTACTATTTAAAAACTCAGTGCCATTATCAGATCTAACAATCTTGATTTTAACAGAAAACTGATTAAGTAAAATATTAAAGAAAGTAAGAACACAATTATAGACTTCATCTTTGGACTTCAACAGATAAACCCAAGTTTCCCTAGTATAGTCATCCACAATTGTCAAAAAATATCTAAATCCTTCTGTAGTTGTCACTCTATAGGGACCCCATACATCTAAATGGATTAACTCACCAAGTTTAGAAGTAGTATGTTGACTAATGGGAAAGGGTTGTCTGGTCTGTTTAGCCTTATGACAAACATCACATGGTGGAAGATTTTCATTTCCAATTTTAAGTTTGTTTCTCAAGGAACTTAAGGCTTGATCAGAAGGATGACCAAGTCTATTGTGCCAAGTTAATTTAGACACATAA